GTACGTACGCTAGGTGTACGCCCACCAGGTGTACGTACACCAGGTGTACGTACACCAGGTGTACGTACGTACACCTGAGTGGGAAGCAGTGGATTTGTTCGGTTTTTCAAAACCCAACTTGGGTTTTCAAAATCCAATTAACTTTAGAAATTCAATTAGTTTTAGAAAACTGTGAAGTCAAAAAGGGAGAAATTTTGCAAAGTTCTGCCGTCCTCCAGGTGTACAGACACCTCGCTGCTGCGAGATGTACCTAAATTTGCAAAAAGTGGAAATAAATATTTCCGACTCTTTGCAAACAAAAGATACTTGTGGAGATAAAGGAACTCACTACGCACGATACAAAGTATATTTGAAATAGATTTCACAATATATATATCTAAAGTACACATTAAACACACATAAATGTATACATATATATGGTTATAAATACACATAAGTACACATACATAAATATATATTGTTTGTGTTTGTGAAGTACATTTAAAAGGTTCTGGGAAAAAATAAACTGCGGAAAAGAGTTTGCTGCATATAAAGGTCTCTAAATGGCATTTGTTTGTTTTTGAATTTTAATTTAATTGCATTTAATTATATATTTCATTCAAATTCTCCACATCTGCATTTATTCGTATAAAGACATTCAGTTGTCTGAGGCAGAAAAAATACTACTACAACTAACTGACAGTCTGCAGTCGCTAATCCAAAAGCCCCACTGACGGCCTGCTTCCTGCTGCTGCTGCTGCTACGGCTGCTGCTGCTGCTGCTGCTGCTGCTGCTGCTGCTGCTACGGCTGCTGATGCTGCTGCTGCTGCTGCTGCTGCTACGGCTACGGCTGCTGCTGCTGCTGCTGCTAAGAAGCTGGTTTGCTTCCTCTTGCGTTGGATGCATGCGGCTTTTGCATATAAATTAAAATTTGAAATAAAATTTTAAACTGCTGCTGTCTGCTGAACTGCTGCACTAAAAATAATTTGAATTACTATTTGCAAATTGGGACACTGCGCAGCTGAAGGGCTTTTTAATAAAAGCGAATTTATCAAAAAATAAACATAAGAAGAATATATGGAATGAATATATTGAAGCATACATTATGTAAACGACATATTCCAATAAGAATTAGAATAATGCACGAATTGATTTATTAGAACAAGAGATTGAATAGCAGAGCTGCGGAAATGCACAAGTCCACAATTTCGGCGAACTGCAGTTCAATTAATAGCTGCAGCAGCAACAGCGGGAAGTTTTTGAAAAGAGAAATGGAGTGAAAGAAATGGAATTGAAAGGAAATGAACTGTGAAAATAAAATGAAAAGTTGTTCAAAACGGAGAAGAAACATGAAGTAATTCAAATTTCCTGCTAGCTGTCATTGCTGCGGCGTCTGCGCCCGCAGCCGCGGGCGCCGACCGGGAACAGAAACAAAAACAAAACACAACTTTGAAAACTAATTGCAAAAGAATTGCAAAAGAATTACAAAAGAACCACAACTGAAATGCAATTGGCACTAACTCGCAATTAACAGGCGCAGGCGCACCGCGGGCAGCTGTATGTACACACCCGAAGGAGGCACCTCAGAAGCGGCAGAGGAAGAACCCCAGAAACTGGAAACAAAGTTACTCACAACTATTTCCACCGTTTGAAAGGAAACTTTTGAATTAAAACAATAAAAAGAAACAAAATCAATTAAAACCGCAACGGCGAGACCGACACTTCATAAAAGCCACTGCGGGCGACGGCGCACACTGTGCAACGGCTGCAAGATTCTGTTCCTGATCCCTATTTGACGCAATTTCGTGGAGTTGGACTTTCAATTTTTGATTATTTCACTTTTATTATTTATTTATTTCCTCCCCGTTCTTTAATTCCACTCGCTCCCTTTCCTCCCCTTCCGTCGACTGCCCACGCCGGCCCAGGTGTCTGTACACCGCGCGCGGTGTACAGACACCTCAGCCCTGTGGACGTCTCTCCACACACATCCAGACTGGCACTTCGCTTTCTCTTCATTCGCGGCGCGCAGCTGCAGCAGCAGCAGCAACTGCTGCTGCTGCAGCAGCAGCAGCTCACATAAAATGAACAAACCCACAAAACTGACAGCTCGTGAGTCCATTCTTTTGCAGTTCAAATTCCGAGCTCGCGAGACACCCGAGAAGCCCTGCGCCCCTAACTTCCTAGCCGGTCTTTGCCGGGCGTTCCCCCTTTATTAATTTCTATTTATTATTTATTATTTATCTTTATTTATTTAGTTTTACCATTTAGTTTCTACTCTATCTTTCTCTGTGCCTCGCTGAGAGAGACCTCACTGGCCCTTTTGGCCCCCCACATCTCCTCCCTCCAGAGCTGCTGAACTTGCTGCTGCTGCTGCTGCTGCAGGCGCTACCTGCTGCTGCCGCTGCTGCAGCGGCTGCTGCTCTCCCTGCTGTGGCGTCGGCCGCTGCTGCTGCTGCTGCTGCTGCTGCAGGGCTGCGGCCCCGCTGCAGCCGCCATTGCTGCTGCTGCACGGGACCCTGCTGCTGCTTCCTCAGTGGCTGCTGCTGCCTTTGCTGCTCCAGCAGGGGCCCCTGCTGCTCCTGTCCTGCTGCTCCGGCTGCCGCTGCAGTGGCTGCTGCTGCCTCTGCTGCTCCAGCTGCAGCTGCTACTAACGCTGCCTTCTCTTGTGGCTCTATGCGCCCGTTCGCCGCACCCACACATCCTCTGCCAGGGTTGGATGACGCCGCCGCTGCTGCTGCTGCTGTTGCTGCTGCTGCTGCTGCGGCTGCTCCTGCTGCTCCTGCTCCTGCTCCTGCTCCTGCTGCTGCTGCTGCTGCTGCTGCCCCTGCTGCCCCTGCTGCATCTGCTGCCCCTGCTGCATCTGCTGCCACCGCCGTTGCAGCTCCTGCAGTGGTGTCGGTGCGGGCTGCTGCTGCGGCAGCTGCCGCTGCTGTTGCTGCTGCGCGGTTGGTTGGTGCAGTGACCGCCGCTGCTGCTGCTGCTGCGTTGGCTGCTGCTGCGTTGGCTGCTGCTGCGTTGGCTGTTGCTGCGTTGGCTGCTGCTGCGTTGGCTGCTGCTGCGTTGGCTGCTGCTGCGTTGGCTGCTGCGGCATTGACTGCTGCGTAATTGACTTCCGTTGCTGCTGCAGCGTCGTCTGCAGCAGCGACTGCCCCCGCGGCTGCTGCTGCGGTGATGGCTGCTGTTGGAATGGCTGCCACTGTAGCTGCTGCTGCTGCTGCTGCAGCTGCAGCTGCAGCTGCAGCTGTTGTTGCGGCGCTCGCAGGGGGCCTTGCTGCTGCTGTTGCAGTGCGTACTGCCCGTCCTGCGGCTGCTGCGGCTGCCCCTGCTGCTGCTGCTGCTGCTGCTGCTGCTGCTGCCGAATCTGCTCGACAATGGAGCCCCCCACAGACACGAGCTTCTTCAGAATCTCCAAGTGCGGCGCATCGCCGACGATCTTCAGAAGCGCCCTGTGGGCTTCTCCCGCGTTTTTGACCACGTGGGTGAGAGGCATGCGCTGCTGCTGCTGCTGCTGCTGCTGCTGCTGCTGCGGGGCCCTGGCCTCCTCGCGGGCAGTCTCCTGCAGCCAGTCGGCCCAGCGCCTGCTGCAGGCCTCCGCGCCGATGTGGACTTCGGCCTTGAGGGCCTGGACTGCAGCAGACAAGTCCGAGATGAGAGCAGCAACAGCAGCAGGAGCGTTGTTGATGCTGCTGAGGATGATTCTCATGGTCTTCAAGTTGTCGCCGACGAAGCGCAGCAGCTGCGAGCCCTCGGTGACCCGCAGCAGCAGCACGTCGACGTAGGGGGGCCCCCGGGGGGCCCCCTCGGGCTGCCGCGCGGCCCGCAGGCTTGCTGCTGCAGCAGCAAGCTGCTTCACGTCGTAGGAAGTGCGCTGCCGCCACAGCTGCACAACTTGCTGCAGCAGCAGCTCCGCCTGCTCCGTGCACTTCTCCCGCGCGTCCGCAAACGCCGACCGGGTGTCTTGCTGCAGCGCGC